GGGTTTAGGGTTTGGGTAGGGTTTGGGGTTTAGGGTTTGGGGTTGAGGCTTTCTGGGTTCAGGGCTTCTGGATTTACAATTTTCTGGGTTGAGGCTTTCCTGTTGCATAGCATAGCTGGAAGTCTTCAGGTACCTCCAGAGGACCAAGCGGGAAATGAACCTCCATAAACCCAGGCTCGAAACCCAGAACCTATGCTAATGATAGTTTGTTTTAAGACTTGTCCGAAGTTAGAGATCTGTTGACATACTCGACGAACAATTTTCCCAAACTTGCTCAACTGCACTGCTAAACTTTTTTGTTTACGCTGCCGGTGCTAGAATGCCTAGAGTAACAGAAACCCGAAGCCCTAACTAAATGACAGAAGCTCTATACCCTAAGTCCTAAACCCAGAACTCTCAGCCCTAAGCCCCGAAGCAGAAACTCTAAACCCAAAGCCAGAAGCTCTAAGCCTTAAGCCAGATACACAAAAACCGTAAGCCCTAAACCAGAGACTCCATGTCCTAAAGCAGCAACTCTCAACCCCCAAACCAGGAACCCCGAGCCCCAAGCCAGCAACTCTGAAGCCTAAGCCCAAAACCAGAAACTCTGAAGCCCCAAAACCGGGAACTCTAAACCTAACCCTAAACCCTAAACCCTAAGAAACTCTGTAGCCTGAGCCCTGAGCCAGAAACTCTGAAGCCGAAACCGGAAGCTCTAAACCCTAAACCCTGAACTCGGAAACTCTAAACTCTAAGCCCAAAGTCCTAAGCCCCAAACCTTGAACCTTAAACCCTAATCCCCTTAAGTCCTAAACTCTAACCTTAAAACCTTCGTCCTCCCGACCTTCCATCCTAAACCCTAAACCCCTAAACCCTAAACCCTATACAGTAAGTCCCAAACCTCAAACCCCCCTGAGCCCCAATCTGCCGCCCTTAGCCCGGCCTCGCTGGCCCGGGAGTCCAAAGAAGCCCTCCGCGGGCTCCGGGCCTCCACCGGGGCTTCTTTAAAGGGTCCATAGGGCTTCTTAAAGGGTCCATAGGGCTTCTGAAAGGGTTCATAAGGCTTCTTTAGGGGTCTATAAGGCTTGGGGCTTAAGGGTTTAGGGGTTTTAGGGTTTAAGGTTTAGGGCTTAGGGCTTCTTTAAGGGTTTATAGTGAAGTTCATAAGGCTTCTTTAAGGGTTTATAGGGTTCAAGGCTTCCTTAAGGGTTGATTGGACTTGGGGCTAGAGGGCTTTAGGGTCTCTTTAAGGGCTTATAGGGCTTCTTTACGGGTTCATAGGGCTTCTTTAAGGGCTTATGGGGTTTATAGGGCTTCTTTAAGGATTTAGGGCTTTTAGGGTTTAGGGCGGCTTGAAGTGTTTATAGGGCTTGGAACTTAAACTTTAGGGTTCAGGGTTTTAGGGTTTAAGGGTTTTAGGGGTTTTAGGGGTTTTAGGGTTTAAGGTTTGGGGGTTTTAGGGTTTAAGGTCTAGGGCTTAAGGGCTTTAGGGTTTAGGGCTTCTTTCAGGGTCTATAGGGCTTAGGGCTTTAAGGGTTTAAGGGCTTAGGGCTTCCTGAAGGGTTTATAGGGCTTAGGGCTTAAGGTTTAAGGCTTCTTTAAGGGTTTATAGGGCTTGGGGCTTCAGGGTTTTAGGGTTTCCGCTCTCGCAACTCGGACTCTGCCAGACGAGGTCTCTGTGTGCAACTATACCATGCGTCTTTAACTAGACGGCAATCACCACTACACCACCGGGAGAAAACGCAATTAAAGAAACGTAACTAAACCTCTTCAAACAGAATAAGACGTGTAGATCAGGTGATTGCTTGTAGCGGGTACTTTGACCGGTCGGTTTCAAAGGAGTCTACGGGCTTACATGCCCCATCGGCCTGACGAGTCTTGGCAAGGACCTGAACAAAACAACGGGCCTAAGCAAATGCATAGCCATAACACGCACCCTGAAAGGGGCTACGATGAGAGAGGATTTCCAAAAATAGGGGACCCTAATATAATACCCTAAATAATAGGATCCTTACTATAAGGACCCCAAAATAAGGTACCCTAATTTTCTGAAACTCCCATGAGAGAGGAACCCTCAGACAGGCCGGGACAAGTCCCGGCGATGAAGCAAGAGTGCTCTCTACGCCCCGGTTAGGCCGACGATGGCGATGTCTTTCACAGGGCCCTTTTTCACCTTCTTCTGTTTGGCTGGGACCTTCTGCATTCTGCCTTGCTGAGGTTTGACCAAGTAGTCCAGTGACAAACTCTTGCAGAGGTCAGTGTGGACGTTCTCGAGGAAGTCCAGGTCGTTCGACGAGATTGTCACCACTCCGCCAGCTTTAGGGCTTAGGGCTCAGGGTTTAGGAGTTTTAGGGTTTAGGGCTTTGGGGTTTCCGGGTTTAGGGCTTAGTGGTTCCGGGCTCAGGGGTTTTAGGGTTTGGGTTTATTTGAGGGGTTCAGGCTTCCTTACGTGTTTAGGCTTCTTTAGGTTGCGGGGCTCCTTGCGGGTTTTGGCTGCTTTAGGGTTCCGGCTCTAAGGCTGTAGGGCTTAGGGTCTGGGGCTTAAAGGTTTTAGAGCTTGGGGCCGATCAGGGTTTAGGGTTTTATGTTAGGAATTGGGGTTTAGGGTTTAGGGTTTTATGTTAGGGCTGTTAGGATTTTTGGGCTGCTGGTTTTTAGGGTTCAGGGCTTCGCGGTGGGCTTGCTCGTTAGATCAGCTGGATAGTAGGAAAGCATGGTACCCTAAACCCAAGGCCCTAAAATCTAGGTGGCCTCACTGTTGCCGGGCTTCTGGGGAGCCTATTTCAGAGACTGCTGGAAAATTTGGGGTTAGGGTTTAGGGGAACCGTTGCTTGCCGCTTGAGGGTTTAGGGCTTCGAGTTAGGGCGTTTACACCACCGTGCATGAAGAACGGTGAGATGGGGCCTAGGTTGTGCACTGGGTCCTGTTGGACCGAGGACCTACTGCAGTTGGGGATGTGCGGCAAATGTTGGCTCTGCTGCTGTACTGGCAGTCGCCTAGGTATTGCAACCGACATCTGTACCTGGGCTGACTAGAGCCCCTACTTACGAATTTGGCTTCTTGTTGGAGAGCTAAGAACTCGTGAAAGCTGCCTGAAACTTCGAGCCTGTTGAAGCCATAACACCCGAGCTCTGTCTCTACCAATCGCTGAGCAAAACAACTCTGATACACAACTGTCCGGTGCTCTTTGATTTTGTGACCTCTCGCCTTGCTAGGACGAGACGAAGCCTGGATTGCAAGCTCTTGGGTTTAGGTGCGGGGTTTTAAGTCAAAGCTACAGCGACACTTCAAGGGCTCTGGTTTCAAGATCAGGCTGTCCGGGGACGAGGTTTGCACTGTTGCTACTGCGGTTTATGTTGATAGCTAATGACTGAACTCTTCACCATCAACATCATCATCTACCCCCTCATCATCATCATCATCATCATCATCATCACCATCATCATCATCCTCCAACTCGCCCTTACCATCCTTCATCTTCATCATGATGGCCACCATCATCATCACCACCATCATCATCACCATCGTCCTCATCGATATAATCATCGCCATCATCAACACCATCATCATCATCATCATCGTCATCATCATCGACGCCATCATCGACAGGAACATAACCGCACTGCTACCATAATTTGTGATCAACTTCAGCATCACGCAGTGCAGAGCTTGAAAGCCTAGATGGCCCAGGTCTATGGCTTTTCGGGCTTAGGGTTCAGTAGTACACATCGCTTAGTAGTGCACACCGCCTTGGGCGAGATCTCCGAGCGCTGTTGAGATCGGATGGACGGGAACTTATCGACCGCCACATCCGTGAAGTGCTCGCTCCTTCAGGGTCTTCATTCTACATATCGCTAAGCTTTCGCCCCCGAGATCGTAACGCCCCAGACCTAAAACCCTAAACCCTAAAGCCCTACAGTAAACCCTAAAAGCCCTAAGCCATAACTTTGAGATATAGGATCCATGGCTTCAGGGCTCCATGTCAGGATCGCCGAAGTGTTGAGCAGCTTTTGGTGCGTGACTTTCTTATCTTAAGGATTTTTTGGGCGGTTTGTCCTTGTATGGGGTTATGCAGGCTTCGTTTGGGGGTGGGTGGGGTGGGGTTGGAAGGGGGTGGGCGGGGTGGGTGGGTGTGTCGGGCTCTTGTGGGTTAGTAAGGCGTGTTATGTGGCTAAGCGCTTGCGGTGCACAAGCCCCCAAAACCCCAAACATCTGAATCCCAGAACCCCAACCCAAAACCCTGAACCCCAAACATCTGAATCTCAGAACCCCAAGCGAGCCATCCTCAAACCCTCACCTGCCGCAGCGAAGTTCAAAGGAACAGATCTGACCCCGAAACGGCACTAAGCCCCGAAGACATAAACGACCCTAAACCCCGAACTGGTTTAGGGTTTAGGGTTTAGGGTTTAGGGCCCAAGACTATTCACCCTAAACACCGCCGAACCCTGACACGCGAAAGAACTCCAACACAACCCTAAACCCGAAATGCCCTAGGCCGTTTCTGCTACTGGATTCGCGTCTGGCCAGACCACGACTGCAATCGTCTTGACTCAGCATGCCCTAAACCCTAAACCCGAACCCAAACCTCAAGGAACCCCCAACCCTAAACCCCAAATCCTAAACCTTAAACCCTGAACCCTAAATCCTAAATTTAAAACCCTAAACCCTAAACCTTAAACTCTTAAACCCTAAACCCTAAATTTCAAACCCTAAGCCCTAAATGCCCCAAGCCGAGCGGCGGCTTGAAGGACTGCTGGTTCTCCAACTGGAGGCCGATGCTGCAGGTCAGATCTGGGCTCCTGCAGGGTCTTCAGGGTTTAGAGTCTTTAGGGTTTAGGGTTTAGGGTTTAGAGTCTACAGGCTTATAGGGCTTTTAAGGCTTTTGGGCTTTTAGGGCTTTAGGGCTTATAGGGCTTTTAAGGCTTTTAGGAGTTTTAAGGGTTTAGGGTTTAGATGCTTATAGGGCTTTTACGGGTTTAGGGTTTCGAGGCGTCTAGGGCTTTCAAGGGTTTGTGGCCCAGCGGGATCCAGCGGGTGTATATGGGTAGTTCTCTAAAGTAGATACGGTCCCCAATATAGTATGGCTCTATTATAATAAGGACCCTAAAAAGGACCCTAATTTAGAAAGCTACCCATATGGCTTTTGGGGTTTATCCCAATCCTAAACCCTAGACCCCTAAACCCTGAACCGCTAAACCCTGAACCCCTAAACCCTAAACCCTAATGTTTGGGGGTTCTTAAGGCTTTATATTTCTGGGCGCTGATAGGGCTTCTAGGGCTTCGTGAGGTTTCGAGGGGTTTAGGGATTATATAGGGCTTAGGCGTTTAGAGGGGTTGAAGGTTTTTTGGCAGGATTGGATGAGGGTTGAAGGCTTGGGGTTGATTCAAGTCTTAGGGCCAAGGCCACGGTAACCGGGGGAGGCTCTGTTACCTAGCTAGGACAAGCCCGCATTGCAGGGTTCACTGAACTTCGGTGGAGGTTTAGTGTTTAATGCAGGGGCCTTAATAATTAGAATAGGGTTTGGGTGTATATTACACTATAACCATAATAAGGAACCACCAAAATAATAGGCAATTATTGAGGCCCCTATATTAGGGGTTGTGGCGTAGGTGACCTCTAGAGTCTGCACCTCGTTCAAGAAAACCGTTAGCAATTCATCACCGGTGATTGCTGGTGTTTCGGGTCCTATGGGTCCTATGCCACATTGCAGTGGCAGGACACAAAAACCCACACCATGGACTCTGAAACCCTATCCCTAGACCCTAAACCCTAAACGCCTAAACCTCAACCCTAAACCCTAAACCCTAAAACCTAAACCCTAAACCCTAAACCCTAAACCCTAATCCCTAATCCCTAAATAAACCCTGAAGGCACAAGCTCGGAGCTCGGCCCAAGACCGCTAAACCCACTAGACTCGAATACCCTGGAAACCCCAGAGCCCAAAAGAGGGGCCTTCCAAACTACAATGAGGTTTTTGGGTTCGTAGTATGCTGTATTGTCGTCATAAGGAAGCCTAGAGAATTATGTTTGCTAATGGCTATTTCGGCCCCGACCCCCCAAAACCTTTTTTGCAGCAGACTTCTCTCGCCCTCGCACCCCCCAAAACCCTAAACCCCGTTCGTGTACCAAGAACCATAAACCCTAAACCGCTCCGCAGCCCGCGCCTTTCAAAAGTTTCCTCCTGCAGTTCGTAGGTCCGAATCTCAGGCCTCCACCAAGGAAGTTTAGGGTTTAAGGTTTGGGAAAATAGGGAAGTTTAGGGTTTAGGGTTTAGTGAAATTTTGGTGCTGAAAACGGAGTTTTAGTTACCATCCCACAAGCTTCTACGGGATGGGAAGTAAGGTTGTATAGAGTCCAAGAGAAGGTTTATGTGTGTTCTTGTCGCGGAGCCTAGTTTAGATCGTGTGAAAAAACGAAACCATGCCATTCACTATGTAAGGGTGCAAGGCTTTGTACTTAGCTTCTACGGTGGGTTCGGGTTGTGATTGGTGTTTTTTAAATTTAGGCTTTGGGTGTTCAGATGATCACCCGCATTACTTGTACTTTGACTCGACTCTGGGATGCAGTCGGTTAAGCCGGGGTTCTGACTTTTCACCTATAACGGTTTAGGGTTTAGGGTTTACGGTTTAGGGCCTTAGCTCTTTGGTGCAGGGATGCAGTAAGCCCTTGGCATCTGGCCGGTGTGTGCCTTGGGGTTTGGGTTTCATAGCCTAAGGTGACCCCCCAAAGACGACAAAGGCTTGCATGGTTAGGAAAGCTTCCCGTGGCAGGCTATTCCACAACTGCGTGCGGCAACTTTAAGCAATGTAGGCCAATAGTGGGATTGTACTCGGGCTTTTAGCCACTTCCAAAACGATGTCACGTGCCTCGACAAGGGCTCTGAACCCTACCACCGCAACGACCTAAACCCTGAAACCTGTCCCCTAAAACCCTGGCAACAATCCTTGGTAGGACCCGACAAGCCCGAATATGGGGGGGGGGGGTTCGGAAGAAGTTGTATCATTATTATCATATCATGTCTCTATCGTTCTTAGCCACAGTATATAACATATCCCCAAAGCCCTCCTCGAATCTATTAAGGCCCGAATTCTCATACGAACCTGCGTATCGGATTCCCGGCCTGGAAGCATCGCAGGGGAGCGCCACGCGCTCGCTGGCGACGGTCGCCAGATGCTGCAAGTCGCGGCCTATCTCCCGAAGCTCACCTGGGGGGGCCGAGGTCTTCTGCCGCACTTTCTTTTTGTGTCTGGAGCTGAAGTTTACGATAGGGGCCTAAATAAATACCAATACTATTTTGGGGGCTCCTTAATTACTATATGTAAAGTATTATGTACCCGGGCTCCTTACTATATGTATAGTAGAATATAGTAGAAGTTACCCTCCAAAACCCTCTTCTAGTCTTTAAGGCCGGCCATGTTAGGGTTTGGGGCTCTAGAGCTTTAGGGACTCAGGCTGGAGTTGAGGGTTTGGGCTCCAAACCTAAGTTAGGGAGCCCAAGACCCCTTGAAAAAGAGACGGCGAAGCAATATATGGCTACAGGGGCCGTTAGTCGTATGGTTCAGGGTCTATTCTATTCCTTAGGGGTAGTTTTTTTGGGCTCTCGGGGAACCCTGCGTCTAGATGCCAAGTCCTGCACGCTACAAACAGAAGACAAATCCCCAGACCCGAAACCGGTGCCCTCAAATGCCAACCACGGGCCCCCCAGCATCGAAGGAAGCCCAAATAGATCGGGCAAGTTTTCCCTAGAGGCTCCATATAAACTACTATTGTGGAAATAGGACCTTTAATTTTTCCCAGAACAAGGATGGTCTTTTGGGGCCTAATTCCATGATGGTAGTATGTATGGATATCGGTCGGCAGAACTAGCAGTCGAACTGTTGAGGCTTCCTTATTGAGAATATGCTACCTCTACATGCGAACTAGTCCATGAATATGGAGGCCCTTATATTGAAGCGTCCCAAACCCTAAACCTCTCAGCAAGAAGAACTGATGCCCAACCGCAAACCCTAAACCTCTGAGCAAGAAGAGCTGATGCTAAAGCAAGGGGAGGCTGGCCAACGCGAAGTGCTTCTGCCAGTTCCATCTCGTGCACTGGCGTCCGTTCTGCGCCGGGTCCCCGTCAGGATTATGGTTTGGGGTTTAGGGTTTAGGGTTGAGGGTTTAGGGTTTAGGGTTTGGGTTTAGGGTTTGGGGTTTAGGGTTTAGGGTTTAGGGCTTCTTTGTTGGTTTGAGGCTATGAGTCTTACGGGTTCTATGCAGGTCTCGGGTCTGGGGGTTGGGCTTCGGGGATTGACGGTTGTGCTCTGTTGGGTTTGAAAGGGGTCAGCGGGTCAGTATCATTCAGGATTGGGGTTTACCCATAGGCCCCATAGTAGTTCCTTTTTGTGGCTTCTGTCTAGGATCCTATTAGGTAATCCCAAAAAAGAACTACTATGGGGCCTATGGGTAGAGGTTGGGAAGAGTTTACGTTGCGGATTGAGGGGGAGTTCCAGTTTCAGATGTTAGGAGGGTTTGAGTGTTTCGGTAGTGTTAAGGTTTGGAGTTCTTGGTTCCCATACTGTAGGGGCATTAATCATTGCCTATACTCTTTCGGGGGCAGAGGAGGGGGGGGGAAGGCGGGGAGGTCCTCAGTATAAGTATAGTATAATATACCCCGAAACCCTATTCTAAGGACTAGGGCCCCTACCTACATTAGCTGATAGTTTCATGGGCATAGACTTGGGATTGAGGATGGGAGGATAGGGCTGAGTGTTTTGGATACCGGTGTTGTGTCGTAGGGTTTGAGGTTTAGGGTTTTCTGAGTACGCTCCTGTCGGTAAAAATTGTATGCAGTGGAGAACGTAGGACTTGCGCGAATGGGGATTGCCGTGGTTTCCTACACTACTACATTCTGTTGCTGCCACTATTACTGGCTGTTCCTGGTCTACGTCTTGCATCTGTTATTCGGGATTAAGGGTCTGCTTTGCTGCCCCAGCCCTGCAATTCCGGTAGCACGTAAGGAAAAACGGTACTGCTACTACGGCGACGGCTTAGTGTTCCTGTAATAAGTAGTTGTTGCGAAGATGATCAGCATGGTTTTGTTGTTGATTCTTGTTAAGGACGTTTTTTTGAGTTATCATAACTTAAGGGTGATGTGGTTGTTTACAAGGCAGTGCAATGTTTAGGATTTAGGGCTTGTGGCTGAGCTGTTTAGTCTGAATCATACGGCGAAAACCGTCTGAGATTTCTTCTCAACACCAAGCCAGAAAGACAAGCGTGAGGCTTCGCCTACACGGACGACGCCCCAGAACTTCGCAGCTACGAGGATCGGGAATAGAGACGGGTATATGGGGGCCCATCTTAAACTCGCTGATTCTTGAGGGCTTCTCAGAATTTGGAAAAAGGATCCTCCATTTCAGAAACGCCCCGTGAAATAATCAGCAAAGAAAAAGCATAAACCCTAAACCCTAAACTCCATTTCAGAAACGCCCACTGAAATAATTAGCAAAGACAGCACTGCATCGCCCCTCTCCGGCGCCACGGCTTTTGGGATGAGGATTTGAGGTTTTAGGATATGAGGGGTTAGGGTTCAAAGAGGTTAGAGTTTAAGTGTTCATACCAGGCTTTACGGTTTGACACAGGCGTCTTACCTGCCGGAATGGGCATGCTGACAGACATGATAGAACCTCGCATGCGACACATGCGCCATAAAACCCTAACCCAGAATTTTGGGAGGATCCAAAAAGTAGATCCCTTAAAGTTCCTAGCAAGTACCCTTTAACAGTATGGAAGCTAACGACCAACGTGATGGATGAAGCCGAAACCCTGAACCCTAAACCCTGAACCCTGCGTTCAACCAACCTAACAGGGCGGGAGAAAAGGGCTGTTAAAAAAACAAAACCTGAACCCTAAACCCTAAACCCTAAACGATACACCCGAAACCCGAAACCCTAAACCCTAAACCCTAAACCCTTAAAAAAAAACCTAAACCGTGAAGCCGAAGGCCTGGTCTGGGCCTGGTCTTGTCTTGCGGCATGGGTTTCGGGCAGAGGGTCGCCTGCGCCTGCGAGTCTTCAACTTTCCGCGGTTTAGGGTTTAGGGTTTAGGGTTTAGGGTTTAGGGTTTAGGGTGTAGGCACTAGGCACCCGAAACCGTAGACTCTAAACTCTAATTAAGCTGAAACCCTAAACCCTAAGTTATAAACCAGATAAAGTGTGGAGCCTCAAAGAACCGGTAGGCAACTCAACAGAAACTTTGAACCGTGTGGAGTTTAAATGTAAGTCCTCACTTTGAACTACGAAGCCCTATACTCCGAATCGAAAATCCGCACAGCTTCCGGCATGTTGTCGGAGAAGTTGTAGACGGTTTTCGCCTTTTAGGTTTTAATGCTAGGGGCATTCAAGCGAGACATGGCCGGTGACTCAGGGACTAGGTGCTTCAAAAGTGGAGTACGGAGACCGACTAAACGCTTCCAGTATGCAGAGCTTGTCGTGAGGTTCTTGTCAACTTGGGCCACCCTTGCAGGGCAATCTTGCATGTGTCTATGCGGATGTAACTTGTTATGCTGTTTCGGCTCGCCATTGCACAAGATGAATATGACTAGGTGGCAAGTGACAAAACTCACCTTAAACCCTAAACCCACTTGGTGCTCAACATGATACGTGTGATGAATCTGGCAGGGGAAGAGATGGTCGTGTTCCGGGCATGAAGACTGTGCAGAGATTGAAACGCGATTTGTACCGTCTTTGCCACATCCCGGTGTGTTTACAGCAGCTTCTATCGGAGGGCCGCACCTTGGATGATGCAACGGAGCTGAAGGCTCCCAGTGATTTGCAGCTGGTACTGTTGCCTGCATCCAGTGCATCGCAGCAGCGGATTGCCAATGAGCTCGTTGATGCATCCTGCAAGGGCAAAGTTGAGACCGTGCGTTTGCTGTTTCGGGCCCGTGCCGATATGAACAGCTTCAACAGAACCGGAGAAACAGCTCTCACAGGTGCAGCCGTATATGGGCAGCTTGAGGTTCTGCGGTTTCTTGTGCTGGAGGCAACTGCAGAGATAGAGTTGAGAGGCAGGGGGGTCTCCGCCCTCACGGCTTTGCTGCATGCATGCGAGCACGGCCATGCAGAGGTTGTGCGGTTCCTGGTAGAATCCGGTGCTAATACGGCGAGTCAGCTCAGATGCTTGCATCCAGCAGTGGCCACATTGAGGTTGCGCGATACTTGGCGGAACCCCATGCGGACGTCAACTACAGATTGTTGTCCCCAATGGCAGATTTAATGAGCACGGCTATCATGTGTGCATCTTTCAACGGCCACATTCAGACTGTGCAATGCCTGTTGGCGGCCCGTGCAGATGTGGACGTCGGCAGCCAGTTCGGAGAGACAGCTCTGATGTGTGCATCTCGGAGAGGCCATGTTGCAGTTAAACAATTGCTAGCAGAAGCCCATGCGGCAACGGGGGGGGGCCTTGCTTCCTCAGAAGCTCATGATTCTGCTCGTTCAAATTGTGCGCAAGCGGCACAAGCCAATGAGCAAAGTCCAATTGCCTTGTGACCTGCAACTAGTAGGTAGATATGTCGGCACCAGCCAAACGCTACATGAAAGATGTGCCACCCGTAGTTAGTACTTAGTAGGACAAGGATTTAAAAGACGCTCACGCAGCATCGGCCAGAAGCGACCATGGAATGATTTCGCGGTGCTTGCAGTTGATGTGATGGCATGTTCGTCGGTCGTTAGGTTGCGACATTGGTTCCAAGCATAGAAGCCTTCTTGCACACAGCTGAATGTAATGACGGACCGGCATGTAAAGACACATCGTGCCAACCCTGATGAATAAACACCTCCGTCAGTAA